GTCCAAGATTAACCTTCAGGGTGGATATAGCTCGCTCCCACCGAGGACCTATCCACGTCATCATTTACCCAGAATGCTTTGTGTGTAAATAAAATGGGTCCATCCGTGTTAAAATATGTTTTTAAAATTTTACAAAACTACAGTACTTTTACAGTCTTTATTTTATAGTTAAAATATATGTTTATCAAATAAAGTCTAATGTTTCAACTAATCATGGATCATGCAAATTTTTCAAAACACGAGCATCATTTTGGAGCGACAATCTGTGAGGGGATTACAAAAAACAAACAAACAAACAAACAAACAAACACAGCCAACACTCACAGAGACTTCAAAGGACTCGCACAGAAAAGGTGGGCGGAGACGAGGAGAAAGAGGCGGAGCCAAACAGGAAACTAGCTTATCCACTTGAACAATCTCTTGACCTTCTGATGCCTTTGAATTGAAATTTAATTCAGATCCCGGCTCGTTTTAAACCCCACCTCTCAGAAACTCAGATAAATACGATGCTGGTAACTCTACAGACGGTACAAAGTATTTGTACTCTGACATTGACCAGTACAAAGTATTTGTACTGCGGCATCTCGCTGCAGGACGCTCTTGTTCTTTTTAAGCTTTTTAATGACTTGATTTTAGATTTTATGAGCCTCTGGTGTCGACGAACACGTTTATTTATTTGTGAAATGATAACAAATGAAACCTCAGTGAAACTTTTACATCTGTTGTTGTTGTTTATGCACACGTGACTTATTTACCTTCAGGTAGAGCAGAGTAAACAACCAGGGTGCGTGCTTCATCTTAGATAAATCTTAGGTTATGGTTGAATCTTTGCTGGCTTTGAGCTAAAGAAACACTTTAATAAGAAATTAGCTGCTTTTTATAAAGAACTAAGAGTGATAATTTGCACTTAGATACTTTAAATCAACTTTTATTAAATGTCAAAGAGTTATGTAAGTTTATGTTGTTTATAATGAAGAAAGGTAAAATAAAATGATTATTTTGAACTTGGTGCGCTTTTATTTTGAAACCAGAAACTAATGTGATCTGAATCAGTTTCTTCTGGATCAGTAGGTTTATTAGAGTCTAGTTAATGACACTGAAAGCATAATTTAATCTAATCTTGGTTTTATTTGCACACACAGACCAGAACACTGGACCTGCTGCCAGTTTTAATTCATTAAACCCAGAAAGTGCAGAGAGACCTGGACTCAGCAGTCAGACTCAGGATCAGGTGGAGCACTGACGCACGTCTTAATGGAGAATTCACTCAAAACAAAAACACAGTTTTGAGCCATTTTCTATTTTTTTACACGGTTTTAATCTCCTAAAAGGTTTTAATTGTTTACAACAATCACAGGTGCTGTTTCCCTCTAAATAAATATTTCTGACTTATTGTTTTAGCTGCTTGTTTCTGCTGTTTTCTGCTTCTGGTCTCAGATTGAAACACAATGAAGCAATTAATTTTCCTGTCAAATAAAAATCCCTACAAATGACATCAGACGTGTGTGTTTGTGTGTGCTTGTGTGTGTTTGTGTGTGTTCGTGTGTGTTTGTGTGTGCTATTCAGTCCAGACAAAACTTGTCTTCAAAGAGAAAAGGAGTTTCTTCCCTTTTCAGCGATAATGAGGATCAGTGAACGGGGCAGAGTGGGGGGGATAAAGGCGAATGGCCTCGTGCCAACACACACACACACACACACACACACACACACACACACACACA